GATAACATTGAGAAGCATGGAAGTTCCCAAACACTTGATTGTACTCATGAGGAACCTGTACCTTGACCAGGAGGCTGTCCTTCGAATGGAACAAGGGGACACCACATGGTTTAAAATCAAGAAGGGAATGTGTCAGGGTTGTATCCTTTCCCCACTTATTCATATATATATAAGGCAATGGAATGTATCATGGCTTGGGTAGGCACACCTTAGTTTTGAAAGTGACATCTTTGATTCTTAACAATTTAAAGAAGTCTTTTGCAGCAGATTTGGCCAGTGCAATATGATGTCTGATTTCTTGACTGCTGCTTCCATTGGTGTTGATGGTGGATCCAAATAAAATTAAATCCCTGACAACTTCAATCATGATGTTGTTTATTGGTCCAGTTGTGAGGATTTTCATTTTATGTTAAGATGTAATCCATACTGAAAACTGTAATATCTGATCTTCATCAGTAAGTACTCCAAGTCATCTTCACTTTCAGCAAGTAAGGTTGTGTCATCTTCATATTGCAGGTTGTTAATGAATCTTCCTCCAATCCTAATACCACATTCTTATTCATGTAGTCCAGCTCCTCAGATTATTTGCTCAGCATACAGACTGGTAAGTATGGTGAAAGGATACAACCCTGACACACGGCCTTCCTGAGTTTAAACTATGCAGAACAGGGAGATCTTGTTCTGTTCAAATGAAAACCTCTTGGTCTATGTACAGGTTCCTCGTGAGCACAATTAAGTGTCCTAGAATTCCCATTCTTCGCAGTGTTATCCATAATTTGTTATGCTCCACAGAGTCGGATGCTTTTGCACAGTCAATAAAACACAGATAACCATCTTTCTGATACTCTTTGCTTTCAGCCATGATCCATCTGACATCAGCAATGATATCCCCGAATCCAGCCTGAATTCCCAGAAGTTCCCTATAGATATACTACACCAACCATTTTTTAATTATCTTCTGCAAAATTTTACTTGCATGTAATATTAATGATATTGTTTCATAATTTCCACATTCTGTTGGATCACCTTTCTTTGGAATGGGCACAACTATTGATCTCTTCCAGTCAGTTGGCCAGATAGGTGTCTTCCAAATCTCTTGGCATAAATGAGTAAGCGCTTCCAGCACTGCATCCCTTTGTTGAAACATCTCAATAGGTATTCCATCAATTCCTTCCGTGGAGCTTTGACTTCTTCCTTCAATATCAATGGTTCTTGACGGTATGCTACCTCATGAAACAGCTGAACACTGACAAATTCTTTTTGGTACAATGACTCTATATATTCCTTCCATCTTCTTTTGATGCTTCCTGCACTTAATATTTTGCCCATAGAATTCTACAATATTGCATATTGAGGCTTGAGATTTTTCTTTAGTTCTTTCAGCTTCAGAAATGCCAAGCTTTTTTTTTTCCCCTTTTGGTTTTCTAACACCAAGTCTTTGCACATTTCATTATAATACTTTACCTTGTCTTCTCGAGCTCCCAGTTAAAATCTTTTGCTCAGTTATTTTATTTCATCATTTCTTCCATTCGCTTTAGTTACTCTGCATTCAGTGGCAAGTTTCAAAGCCTCTTCTGACATCCATTTTTGTCTTTTCTTCCTTTCCTATCTTTTTAATGACCTTTTGCTTTATTCATGTATGATGTTTCTGATGTCATCCCACATCCTTCATTAGTCATTTGTGTTCCAATGCATCATATCTATTCTTCAGATGGTCTCTAAATTCAGGTGAGCTATAATCAAGGTCATATTTTGGCTTTCGTGCACTTGTTTTAATTTTATTCAGCTTCAACTTCAACTTGCATTTGAGCAATTGATGGTCTGTTCCACATTCAGCTTCTTGCCTTGTTTTGATTAAAGATACTGAGCTTCCCTATCACCTCTTTCCACAGATATAGTCTATCTGATTCCTGTGTATTCCATCTGGTGAGGTAGAAGTGTATAGGCACCATTTATGTTGTTGAAAAAAGTCATTTGCATGAGTAAGTCATTAGTCTTACAAAATTCTATCATGCAATCTCCAGCATCATTTCTACCACCAAAGACATATTTTCCCACTACTGATGCTTCTTCTGTTTCCAACTTTTGCATTCCAATCACAAATCAATCTCTTTTCTTTGCATGTTTGGTCAATTTCAGAGTGCAGAAGTTGGTAAAAATCTTCAGTTGCTTCATCTTTGGCTTTAGTGGTTGGTGAGTAAATTTGAATAGTAGCATTAACTGGTCTTCTTATAGGCATATGGGTAGTATCCTATCACTGACAGCATTATACTTCAGGATAGATTTTGAAATATTCTTTTTGATGATGAATGCAATGCCATTCTTCTTCATCAATCCTGGCATACTAGACCATATGACCGTCTGATTCAAAATGGCCAAAACCAGTCCATTTCAGCTCACTAATGCCCAGGATATTGACCTTTATATGTTACATTTCATTTCTGACAACTTCCAATTTTCCTAAGTTCATACTTCATACATCCCACATTCCAATTATTAAGAGATGTTTGCGGCTATTTGTTCCCATTTTGAGTCAAGCCGTATCAGCAAATGAAGGCCCCAAAAGCTTTACTCCATCCATGTTATTAAGGCTGACTCCACTTTGAGGAGGCAGCTCTTCCTCAGTCATATCTTATGTGCCGTTTTGTGGTAGTTAAGGTTATGTGTCAACTTGGCTAGGTCTGATTTTGAGTAACTGGGCAACTGGATGTAGTATTCCCCATGATGAGACTAGTAATCAACTCCATGGCACAATCTATTGTGAGCAGGCTTAGGGATGTGGTCAGCTCCCAGTACGTAAGGAGAAGCTTTAGGAATGATCTGTAGCTTATGGCATGCTTGAATCTTCCATATAGCTGAGTCATCGTTCAGCAACCTGCCATGTTGTCTGCCAATCTTGGGACTCTTAATGGACTTGAATCAATGGCCTGTGGTTTGGTAATCTCAGGACTGTGCCTTTTTACTTGTCCACTTTGGGTCTGTCAGCCTCTGCAACCAGCAGCTGCCTGAGTGAAGAAAGCCTCCAGCTGCAATGGTCTGATAGCAAAAGGCAGAGCTGAAGCCCAAGACCAAGGGGCTTTCACTCAGCCCCTAGAGCCTGGCACTTTGAACTCAGACTTCTAGCCTCCAAAAACATAAGAGAATGAATTCCTATTTGTTAAAAGTCACCCATTTGTGATATTTTCTATTAGAGCGCTATGAAGTAACCAAAACACCTTCCAACCTGAGGGGTTCATTTTCTGGCACTATATCAGACAACGTTTCATGACTATTCATAAAAGTTTCCAGTAATATATAAGACAGTGTTTCACTGCTATTCATAAGGTTTTCAGTGGCCAATTTTTTCAGAAATAGATGTCCTTCCTTCTTCCTAGTCTGTCTTAGTCTGGAAGCTCCACTGAAACCTGTCCACCATGGGTGACCCTACTGGTATTTGAAATACAAGTGGCATAGCCTCTAGCCTCACAGCATGCAAGCCACCACAGTACAACAAACTGACAGACGAGTGGTGGCATCTGTGAATAGTTATACTAAAAGCCACTGAATTGTACATGTAAAATGGATGAATTAAACCATATATGAATTATAGCTCAATAAAGATCATGAAAATGGTACAAAACTGGGCAACATCTCATTCTACTCCTACTCCTTACATATCAACTATCTCATCATCCAATATTTCACATTTACAAAATAGTAGAACATCTACTACCCAACTATTTTACACATTAACAACACACATCTGGCAGTAATGAATACCAAGGCACAAGACAAGAATAATGCTGGCTGTGATGGTTAAGGTTATGTGTCAACTAGTCTGGGCCATGATTCTTAGTGGTTTAACAGTTATGTAATGATGTAGTTATCCTCCATTTTCACATAACAGCCTAGTCTGTGGAACCTAACCGTAAGTGAGGACTGGGTGTATTTACATAAGGTTGGGATGAGTCAGAGCTGACTGGATTACAACAAACAATAACAACAAGGTAGATTTAAGAAAATAATGGGAAGTGAGAAGATGGAGACAGCAATGACAGACAATATTTTGAGGAGTTTTGCTATGGAATGGTAGCTAATAGGAAAATGGAAGCAAGCATTCTGAATGCTGGGGAAAGAGAGAGGAGGAGACTGGTTAAATTAATTTTTGTTTATCCATCCAATTAAAAACAAATTAGAACATGGCAAAGCCTTGGGGAAAAAAGTAAATTGAAGCAGCTCTATATAAAAGAACATAAAATTATTTCCCAGATACGTTGTTAAGAAAATAAGTACCTATACACCAATAGGGGGCTCTGGTGGTGCAGCACCTAAGGCATTTGACTGCTAACCAGAAGGCTGGTGGTTCCAACCCACCAGCCACTACTTGGAAGGAAGTCTGAGCAATCTAAGTCCATAGAGACACCACTTTGGAAACCCAAGGAGGGGTCGTTATGAGTCCAATCAACTTGACGGCAGTGAGTTGATTTTTTGTTTTCTTTTGTTTTTATACACCAGTATGTATAGAGTGTACCCGTTTTGGAAAAAGGAAAACAATGTGCTCCATTTGGACCAAGCATCTCTGGAAAGACTCATGAGAAACCATTAACAGTGGAACCACTAGAGAGGAAACTGGATAGCAGAGCAGGAAGGAGAGCTACTTCTCACTGTACACACTTCTATACTATTTAAATTTTTTACCAAGTGCATAGATTACCTTCTCAAAATATAAACAAAATTATAGAAAAAAATACCCCATTATTAACTCTTTGGTAACATTAAAAAAAACCCTCCTAGATGTATCTGTTGGCCAACTGGAATCGTCATGTAACAGCCTCACAGAAGCAGCAGGCACCAGTCAGCAGCTTGGCCTGTGAGCACTTGCTCAACTGTCCATGGGAGTTTCTTCTCCCTGACTGTCCTGGGAGCACCAAGTGGTCAGGGACCATGTCTATTTTTTTTCACTGCTCTTTATATTCCCTTTCAACAACTGAGAGCTCTATAAATCAGAATCAGTCACTCAGTGGGATATATATATATTTTTTTTTAACACACACATTTACATATATACATATACATATATATTATATTTATATATAATATACATGTACCTATATATATGTTGTTGTTGTTGTTGTTATGTGCATACACACACACACACACACACACACAGGTACCTAGTGCCCCAGAGAGTACATTAATTAAGCCCTGTGAGATCTGTCTGAAACACACCCACCACAGAGACAAATATAGCAAAAGACCATTTTTAAGCCAACACAGTGACCTCTTTTCCACTGCTCTGGATAGCACCAGGTGAGAGGCAGTGCAAAGGTGTGAATCAGATGCTGCTCTGAATCCTGGCTTCCCCACTTATTAGCTATGTAACTCTGGACAAGATCCTGAACCTCTCTGAGCCAGGGTTTCCCCACCAGTGAACCAGCAGGTTGCATGTAAGTACCCACATGTAAAATACCTGGCACATATCAGGTGCTTAAGAAGTATTTATTTCATGTCCTTAGTTCCCTCCATATCCACTTCAGGTGTCCAGATAAAGTAGAGACAAACTAAACAATGAAGAAGACAGCACATCTGTTTTCTGCATTGGAGATGCAGGTAAGAAAAAGAGGGCCCACCTTCCTCAGGCGAGTCTTCCTCTGTGTCTGCCGGCTTTGGCCCCTGATGAGTCCCTGGGGAGAGAAGAGACAGTTAATGGTTCCGGTACACTAGACCCTCATCCCCAACTTAAAGAAAAGTGTGGTACAGGATACACTAGGTGAATGCCAGCCAGAAAAAGCAAAGTCAGTTTATCTTTACTGGAGAAGCAGGACAGAGCAGTGGCCATAACCATGGACCCTGAAGGCAGAGACCAGAGCTCACATTCCAGCTCTGCTCCCCAAAAGCTGAGCATGAGATGGCAATTCCTTGAACCTCTCTAAGCCTCAGTTTCCACTCCTAGAAAAAGAAGACACTAATGTCCAGCCCACACCGAATCCTGGGGACAATGTAATTAGACAATGAATGGAAGCACTCAGCAAAACTTTTACTAGTGCTACCATTCCGGCTCCAGTGCTCAGAAAGTTGGGGCCACAGGAATAGTGCCTCCCAGAACTGATTGCAAGACTAGGCAATGAATGTCTAGCTCCATGGCAGGGGATGGGAGAAACAAATGGGTTTGCCAGAAAAGGCAGAAAGGTCAGGAAAGAGGAGTTAGGGGTAGAGTATGGAGTATGGGGTTTTATAAGACCAGGGTCTTCCAAGCAGACACAGCACACTGCAGGTTACTGTGAACCGTTAGATTCCAGGCCCTATAGTCTGTTCCCCTTCCACCACCACCACTCTGCCCTAGCACAGCAGAATACTCAAAAGGAGGAAAGCACACATGACAAACCGGTCACATCCACATGGATGGGGTCAATTTGCTACACACTGGGAATAAGACAAAGGTTGTGGCCCACTCCGAGCCCTGAGCCATAGGCAAGGCATGGTGAATTAGAAAGAGCCTGCTCCATCAATCACCACCCCCAAATCCTCACCCCTCTCCATCATCTCCACCACCCTACAAAGAAGAGCAGGCTGGGCAAGAAACCCAGCTGGCTCTACAGAAAGCCTTCAGTGTAAATGCCAGCCTGGGCCCTGTCTGTCCCAGAAGTTAACGTTTTCTTTCCCTCCCTCATCCCAACTAGGGAACCAGTCACCAGTCTCAGAGGCTGCTGTCACCAATCCTCAACCTATACATTCATTGGTGAGGGAAAAGAAGGAGGAAGGAGCCCAAGGTAACAACCAAGGTTGTTGTAACTCCCCATACAGACTTACCCTCTGCCTTCCTGAGGGACAAGGTCTGGATCTGTAAAGAGATGGAACAGAGCAGGTTAGAGGCAGCAGGGAATACTGTCAGAACTCCACTCTGTGATGAAGGGACAGCCAGTTTCCATGCCACGCACTGGGAACCAGAGGAGCTCCAGGTGCACCACCAAAGACGTCCACCCATCTCCTGCTGGCCACATGTGAGAAGGAGTGACATCAGGGCTAAACATCACCAATCAGGAGGCATCATGCTCCATTTTCCCCCAGGTAGGGAGAAAGAATTCCCCTCTTCAGAGAGAGATTGTGGCTTGCAGGGTAAGACCCCCATGCTTCCTGGCACACAGTGAGTACCACTGATATAATTAATGGAAAACCACCAGGGCAAGGTAGAGGCTCCCCTCTTTCTCAGCTGAGTGCTCCCCTAGAAGGGCAAATAGTGACCTCTGTTAGGAGGCCTGATGTGGATATTTACTGAATTGTTGCTCAATCTGCCTTTTCCAGGAATTGCCTCTTCCTTCATATTCCCACATGGTTGCCAATGAGGAAGCCACACTGAACATGACCTCACACCACAGCCACAGCTGACTGTCCAGATTTGGGCCAAGAATTCAGGACTAGTAACACTGAAAGTCACCAGCTGTCAGCAGCCAAGTGTTGTTCTTTCTGCTTTTTTTTTTTAATGCATTTTATTGAAATATAATTTATGTACAGTGAAATACACAAAACTAAAGTCACGTGGGTCATTTTTTATTTATTTTTTTTTTTGGCAGTGTTCCCTGCCCTCCCCTCCCACCCCTGGCAACCAACAAAGAAAGTTTCCCTCCATATATAAACCTCTCCTTGACCCTCCACAACAATGAACTAATACTACAATTGTCCTTCTGTGACTGACTTATTTCACTCAGCATAATGTCCTCCAAGTTCATCCATATTATGTGGTGTTTTGCAAACTCTACATTATTCCTTAGTGCTGCATAGCATTCCATGATGTGTATGTACCATAGTTTGGTCATCCACTCTTCCACTGATTGGCACGTAGGTTGTTTCCATCTTTTAGCTATTGTAAATAGTGCTGCGATGAACATGAGTGTGCATATATCTGTTCCTGTCCTGGGTCTCACCTCTCTAGGATATATACCTAGTAATGGGATTGCTGGGTCAAATGGTGTCTCCAATTCCAGCTTTCTCAGGAATCACCATATTGCTTTCCACAGTGGTTGTATCACTTCACAGTCCCACCAGCAGTATATGAGAGTCCCAGTCTCTCCACATCCCCGCCAGCATTTATTTTCTGTCTCACTGAACCTTGCCACCAGTGCTGGGGTGAGATGGTATCTCATTGTTGTTTTGATTTGTATCTCTCTGATGGTCAATGATTGTGAGCATATCTTCATGTATCAGCTGGCCACCTGAATATCCTCCTTAGTGAAGTGTCTATTCATGTCTTCTACCCATTTTTCAAGTGGATTGTTAATTCCTTTGGCGTTGAGGCGTTGGAGTTTTCTATAAATCTAACAGATAAGTCTCTTGCCAGATATGTAATTATCGGCAAATATGAATTTGTTGCTGTCATTTTTGGTATGTGCTTTTTTGTGGTGTCGATTTCTTTGTTCCATATAATTTTCTATGCTGAGCTTATTTTGTTTATGAATTGTGTTATCACTTCCTTCATTGTTATTGTTTTAATATTTGCTAAATATTTGTGCTGGTCCTCTTTTTTATTTTGATGTGAAGGTTTATCATTTTTCTTTGAAGTTACCCTGTGATTTATAGTTTTCTTCCCAAGTTTAGAACAGTCCTTGTATCTCATAGTTGTCTTGACTTCCCTACCATCTAGAAGTTCTGTAAGAACAGTTTTTTCCCTCTTTTTGGTTTGTAGTTGTCCTCATTTACCAATTGATGTCTCTGGTTCTCTGCTTACAAGCTTGTAGGCTTACTTACTTTGGATACTTCCATAGTGGGGTTGGTTTCTGGGTTAATCATGTGTGTTAATGGTCAGTTGTTGGCTGTTGTTGCTTCTCTGTCCAAAGGGCTCCCTTTAGCATCTCTTATAAGCTTGGTCCTGGTTTTAACAAATTCCCTTAATTTCTGCTTATCTGGAAATGTCCTAATTTCACCATCATATTTGAGGGACAGTTTTGCTGGGTACATAATTCTTGGATGGAAATTTTTCTCTTTCAGGGTTTTATATATACCATCTCATTGCTTCTCACCTGCACGGTTTCTGCCAAGAAATCTGAGCTTAGTCTTATTGGTTGCTACTTGTAGGTAACTTTTTGTTTTTCCCATGCTGCTGTCATGACTCTTTCTTTGCCTTTGATTTTGGTAAGTTTGATAATGATATGTCTTGGTGCTTTTCTTTTGGGGCCTATCCATTTTGGGGCTTGCTGGACTTCCTGAATGGATATATTCTCATCTTTCATCATACCAGGAAAATTCTCTTCCAACAAATCTTTGACAATTTTCTCTGTGGTTTCATTTGTCTCTTCCTGTTCTGGAATTCCAATGACACGTATGTTATTACTTTTGATGGTATCCCACATGAACCTTAGGCTTTCTTTGTTTTGTTTTGATCTTTTTTCTGATTTATCCCTTTCCAAAGAAATGTTCAGGTATTTGCCTTCAATCTCACTAATTCTGTCTTCCATTGATTCAATTCTGCTCCTTTGCCCATTCAATGTCTTACCTATTTCTGAAAATTTTGTATTAATCTTCTGGATTTCTCTGTGTAGATTTTGTATCATTTCTAATTTTTTCATTTATTTTGTCATTTTGTTCTTATATTGCCTTTCAAAATTGTTGTAGGGTTTTCTCTGTGTTTTCCTCAATTTTGTCAGTGTTTTCCTTGATCTGTCTCTCAACTCATTGAAGATACCTAAATATAATTCTTTTGAATTCCTTATCAGGGAGTTATAGTTCTGCATCTTCCTCAGGGATGTGTTTTGGGTCTGTATCTTGGTCCCTTATTTCTTCTGCTTTATCTTGCTTGAGTGGACTGTGATGCGCTATTGTCTTCAAGGCATTGTAAGTGTTTGTGTTTATATTTAATTGATGATTCTATGTTGGAGTGATGTGCCCACGATTTTTATTTTCTTTGTTTTGTTTGTATGTTATCTACGCAAGAAGGGTACTGTGCTGTGCTCCTCTATTCACTAGTTGATAGCACTTATACACTCACCACCTGTCTCCTTTCCTGTTGTCAGCTTCTTGTATGTCCCTGCTGACATTGGCAAACAGAGCCTATTCTTAGGTCCCTGGAATCCAAATGAGAATGCTATGACTTTAAAATCCAAAACAGCTGCCACCTGTAAACATTCAAAATGGCCGTGCCCTCAGTCACTTTAAATATCCAAAATGGCTGCCACATGTAAACAATCAAAATGTGCTGCGCCCTCTGGACAGCAGGAAAGTCAACTGGTCAGGTTGTCTCTCTCCTTGCTGTTTCCCTTCCTAGTCATCAGCCACCAGCACAGTCATCCCTGCAGCCCTTGGTGACCAGGGCTGATCTTTAGGTCAATTCTCAGGTCCCAGCACCACTTGGAAATATTCAGCCTGCTGGTCCCATCAGAGTAGCTAACAGTCCGCAGCTCTGACCATCTCTTACTCACTGTTTTCGTTCAGGTTTTTCCACTAGTTGGTGCCTAATCCACTTCTCTATAGTTCCTTTCAAAGATCAGGGCTCTAGGATTATCTTCTGTATCTCTGTCAATTGGTTTTTCTTTTCTTTGTTGAAGAGAGTCTGTGTCACTTGTCTGCCTATTCCTCCATCTTACCGGAAGTGTCTTTTTGCTTTTGTTTTGAGGTTTGTTGTCTGTTTTGTCACATGGAACAAATAAGAAGAGGAAGTGAATCTTTAGAGTAAAAGGGAGAGAAAAGGGGAAAAAAAAAAAAAAAGGAAACACCTATAGAGAAAGGAACAGAGACAAACAGCAAAGCAAAGTCCTGACCAATTCATGTCTCTGGTTCCAGTTTATTCCAAGACTCACCTGTTCCCCTGCCTTGATCTCTATGGGACACCCTGTGTGTGCATCCTTACGACTAATTCCTTCTTATGTTTAAGCATGAATTGCCTTTTGTTACTTACTGTGTTACATACAGAAGTATGACTGGTCCAACATCCACTCCAAACTGTTTCCTCTCTTGCCTACCTCTACTCTAAACCAAAACCAAACCAAACTCACTGCCGTCAAATTGGATCTGACTCATAGCAACCCCTCCTTCGGTTTCCGAGGCAGTATCACTATGGAAGTAGATTGTCCAGTCTTGCTTCCAAGGAGTGGCTGGTGGGTTTGAACTCCCAGCTTTTTGGTTAGCAATCAAATATTTTAGGCACTAGGCTACCACAGCTCCTACTCTAGAAACCATAAAACTAATTATTCACTGTCTCAGCTTTCCTTGCAGCTAAAGTTGTCCATGTGACACAGTTTTAACCCATAAGATATAAACTAAAGTCCTGTGAAGGGGCCTTTTCATCATCTTCTTCCATCAAATATGGTTGTGATGCTTGGTGCTATGATAGCCATCTTACAATTATGAGAAGTAAAGCAGGGAAACAAAGGTTAACACACCAAAACTGGTGAAAAAGAAAACCAGAGACGGGATTCCTAGTAGTATAATTATGCAGCTAAACCATGGCCAGGACCTATCCATTTCTCTTGGTGTTATGATAAAAACTAACCCCTGGTAACCTCTTCTGTTAATTTAGTCAATGGGTTCCTAATGGAAATAAGTGCAAACAAGAGTCCTGATAACATAGGAGGTTGGACCTGAGGGGGCCACAATAGGGAAGAGCTAAAAGTATGTTGGGAAAACAATGAAAAGAAAATCATCAAAGGAGTAGGTTAGATATGTTGACTGGGTGACATGTGGCTGGGAGAGCAGAAAAGCCAGGGGAGCAGGCACAGGAAGAGCAGGCTAGACAATGACAGTAGGTGCTCAGTCCAGGTAAATTGTGTGGAGATGGGTCTGTCAGGTGGGTGGTGTCAGACCACACAAGGATCTGAAGCCACAAGAGGGTTCCAAACAGGGAAAGATGCAACTTCCGCATAGACCTAGAGCTGAGGAGGGGAAGCTGAGCCTGAGCTGGGCAGAGAATTATCAGCAATATATGGTAAGAGTCACAGGGACTAGTTTCAGGAGGGGGCTACTTAGTGAGTAAGTGTCTTGTCATCACACTGACTTATCTGAAAATCTCATCAGAGGCTATTAATTTATGAAAAAAAAGTTTTGGTTAAGAAATTATGCATGAAAACACAGTATAAGGAGCACAGGCTTTGCAGTCAACCTGCCTGGGTAAGGTTGAATCTCACCCTGTCACTTACAGCGTGCCCTGTGTGAACTTCAGCAAGGCTCTTGAATTCCCAAGCCTCGGTTTTATCTAATGAAGATGGGAGGAGGTGAGCCCTACCTCAAAGCGCTATAAATCAAAAATCCAAACTCACTGCCATCAAGTCAGTTCCAATTCACAGTGACCCCTCCTTGGGTTTCCAAGGCAGTATCACTACAGAAGAAGATTGCCCAGTCTTCTTTCCGGGGAGTGGCTGGTGGGTTTGAACCACTAACCTTCTGGTTAGCAGTCGCCTTAGGCACTATGCTACCAGAGCTCCTTAAAGGGCTGTAGTGAGGCTTAATGAGGTAATAAGTACCAACTGAATACTGGGTGTTTAATACAATCTCTAATGTTCAAGTCAACCGATCTTCTAGCAATCTCTAAGGAAGATAGGCACATTTTCAGTCTGGAAGAAGGCAGGCTGCTAGTGTCCATAACCCCAGAAGAATCCAAGATGACTCTCTCAGGAAAGAGGCCAAGGGGTACCAGGGCTTGGCGAGGAGGAGGGATTGACCTACCATCTTCTCTTGGGAGGCGATGAGCCTGGCCTGCTCCTGGAGCTGGGTGTGGAGGGCATTGATCTGGCGCTGGGACTCGGCAGCTGCTTTCCTCTGATCCTGGGACAGGGAGGCCTGAAGCCTCTCGTTCTCCTCCTGCAGCTGGTGGGCACAGGATAGTTGTCAGTCAGATGTCTGCAGGGCCCTCTCAGTGCCTTGCATCTGCAGGCCCTGCACCTGTAGTTAAGTGCTGTCAGAGTTTTACCTGAAGAAGGGTAGCAGATTTCTAGACCTAGGCGACTGACTTTCTAACAAAACTACCTTCTAGTCTTTGGGTATTTTGAACTGTGCCTTAAGACAAGTCAAAACTGAATACAGGCCCCTAAGACAGAGCAGAAAGACCTCTGTCAGGCGTGACCACCCTCTGAGAGGCAGTCAGGTACGTTGAGATCATTAAAAAATCATCCAGTAGATGTTGTTAGGTAAAAAGAAGAGGTGAAGAAAATGTGCTAATGTGCTACCTCTGGTGTAAGAATAGAGAGAAAATGAGACTATTTGTATTTGCCTAGAAGAATACTTAAGAAAACAGTGAAAGTGGTCACCTATGGTTAGGAGCTCTGGTGGCATAGTGCCTAAGGCATTTTTTTACTGCTAACCAGAAGGCTGGCGGTTCAAACCCACCAGCCACTCCTCGGAAGGAAGTTTGAGCAATCTACTTCTGTAGTGATACCACCTCGGCAACCCAAGGAGGGGTCGCTATGAGTTGCTTCTGACTCCACGGCAGTAAGTTTGGTTTCATTTATGGGGTGAGTGTTGGGTATAGGTCAACAGGAACAGTGAAACCTTTCTCAGTATACCTTTTTATATTTCTTCTCCTTTTGGAACCACATGAATGTATCTCCTATTTTAATTTTGAACAAAATACAATTCTCAGATGGAATTGGTGGGACTCTTCAGACTGGAATGGGAGTAGCTACCATAAGCTAGACTCTGGTCTAAGCATTTTTATCTTCTTAGCTTCCTGCAGGCAGAACCTGGCCCTCTTGTTGGCCAACTCCCTCCTCGACTTGCCTCCTCCTCTGGAGCATTTTTATAGAAGCTGTTTTCTCTGATCTGAGCTCTGCTTCTCCCTGTTCAATGGGCTCCATACCTAAGTCCTTCCATTTGTGTTCCCCCTGAATTCACTGAGGTCCACAGGTGTGATGGTCATGTGTTTGTGTGGCAACTTGGCTAGGCCTGGTTGAGTGGCTGGGCAGCTGGTGGTAGTTATTCCCCATGATGAGACTGGCAATCAACTCCATGGTGGGATCTACGACAAACAGCTGAGTAGCTGCTTTGGGTATATGGTCTGCTTCCCATATATAAGAAGCAGCTTTGGGAATGGTCTCAAGCTTATGGCACCTAGAACCCTGCACGTAGCTGTGTCGTTGTTCAGCAGGCTGCCATGCTCTGCTGACCTTGGGACTTTCAATGGACTTGAATTAATGGCCTGTCATGTGGTTTGGTAATACCAGGACTGTGCCTTTTTACTTGTCAATCTTGGGCTTGGCAGCCTCAGCAGCCAACAGCTGTCTGAATGAAGAAAAGCCTCTAGCTTCAGTGGGCCGGGAGCTGGAGGCAGAGCTGAAGCCCAAGGCTGAGGGGCTTTCACCCAGCCCCTAGAGCCTGGCACTTTGAACTTGGACTTAAAGCCTCCAAACTGTAAGAGAATAAACTCCTGTTTGTTTAAGCCATCCCTTTTGTAGTAGATTCCTGTCAGAGTGGCACTAGGTAACCAGAACAACAGGTATCTGCTTCTCTCTTGGGTGAGATTTCAAAGAAGGGTCCAAACTGAAAATAACCAGGCCATTCATCTCAGGCCTATAGAACAACCCTGCCTGGAGGGCCTGAAATGGCCAGCGCAAAGAGGATCCCACCGAGGAAAAGATGTATTGGGTTCGGAAAAGAAGGCCTACAAGTCTTCAGTCCTGACCAGGGAAACTGCTGCCTGGGCAGTTGACCATTTCTAGGTATCACTGGGGGTCAGCAGCCAGGAACAATATTAGCAGTAAAATATCTGCCAGCCAGTTAGGGGGTGGGGCAGGTGAGAAGTACTGACTTATGAGAGGTGATCACAGAAACCAAGCTCTACCAGGCTACCCAACGAAAGCTACCTCCCTCTTCTGAGCCACGTGTGCTTCTTGCAGTTCCTTCATTTTTCTCTTCCATTCTGTTTTCTGAAAAAGATTAAAAGTTTATCAAATGGGATCTTCGGGATATTAAAACATTATAAAGCTACAGGAATTAAAAAGTGCCAACTTGTGATAAGGCAAACAAAGCAGTGGAAACAGAACAGAAAGCCCAGACAAACATGGGGTAAAAATACAAACTTAATCAGGGGGAGATGTGTTATTGAGTAATGGTATATTGGTTGGAACAAGTGGCTGGCTGGCAAAAATAAGAACTTAATGATTATTAAGAGCTTGGGTGGTGCAATGGTTAAAGCATTCGGCTGCTAACCAAAAGGTCAGCAGTTCAAACCCATCAGCCACTTTGCAGGAGAAAGATGAAGCAATCTGCTTCCACAAAGATTTGCAGCCTTGGAAACCCTGTGGGACAGTTCTACTCTGTCTTATAGGGGCACTATGAGTGGGAATTGACTCGATGGCAGTAGATTTTGTATGATCATAGCACATCTTAAACCAAAATAAATTCCAGGAGGGTCAAAGATTTCAACATTAAAAATACTGCACACCTATGTTCATTGAAGTGGTGTTCACAATAGTAATGGAATACTATACAGCCATCAAGGATAATGATGAGTTCACAAAACAACTTGTAACATGGATGAATCTGGAGGACACAATGCTGAGTGAAATAAGTCAATCACGAAAGGACAAATATTGTATGATCCTACTTTTATAAAAAGACAAAAATAGTTGTACACACAGAAATCAATGTTTTTGGTGGTTATCAGGGACGGGAAGGGGAGTGAGGGGAAATCACTCGCTAGACAGTGACACTTGTGACAGAAAAGGGGATATCAGATGTGGGTAAAGTGTGCATAACTTGACCAAGGTAAATAATGACACGAAGAAGTACACAAGAATAAGGGACGTTATTGGTAAATGCTGTAACATATGCAATTTTATAACGACAAATGGTAAAAAACCAAAAAATAGGTGAGTGGCTACATAAGCAGATATATATGCAGGTAATTGTATAGGAAGGTATATGTGTGAATAACAGGATGCTTGAATAGGTATATCTGTAGGCATATGTATATATGTGTTTGAGTGTGTTACACATATATACATATACACACACACACACACACACATATATATAAAATAAAGCACATAGGGGGCACAGCCACAGATACTTCCCAGGTATAAGCAAACATCTCACAGGAATGGTTTACTGCATTTTAAGGCTTTAGGACCATAGTCTTGTGGAACAACTAGGTCAACTGGCATAACACAGTCCATAAAGTTTATGTTCTATATCCTAATTTGGCGAGTAGCATCTGAGGTCTTAAAAGCTGTGAGTGGCCATTTGAGATACAACTATTAATCTCTACTCATTTGGAGTAAAAGAGAAAGAAGGAAACCAAAGACTCAAAGAAGAAACTAGTCTACAGGACTAATTGCTTGCATCAACCACAGCCTCATCTATCCTGAGACCAAAATTAAATGGTACCTGGCTACCACTACTGAACATTCTGATCAGGGACAAAATAGATGGTCCCAGATAGATTGGGAGAAAATTGTAGGAAAAAACACAAATTCTTTTAAAAAGCCCAGACTTACTGGACCAGTGAAGACTAGAGGAACCCTCAAGATTATTACCCTTAGTTACCCTTTAAATTTTAAACTGAAACCACTCCTGGAGGTCACATTTCAGCTAAATAACAGATTAGCTCATAAAATAAACAATATTACCTGTGATTACTGTTCTCCTTGGGGAAAAAAAAAAAGAAGAAGAAGAAGAAAGAAAGAAAGAAAGAAACTTCTGTATAAGGTTAAATGGTTACCATTTACCTTAAAGTAAAGATGAGAAGGTCAGGGGGTGCAGGGAAGCTAGATTAATGAGAATGAAACAACCATAATGGAAATAATGAGAATGTTGACACAGTATGGAAAACATAACCAATGTAACTGAACATAAGTATAGAAATTGTTAAATGGGCATAAATTTGCTATATAAATTTTCACCAAAAACACAATAAAATAGTTTTTAAAATAAAAATAATTTATCACAGAGGATATCAAGCTCAACTGGCACAACATAGTATATAATATTGTTCTGCATCTTACTTCAGTGAGAAGGCACTGGAGTCTTAAAAGCTTGCAAGTGGCCGCCTAAAATGCAACTATTTGTCTTTCCTCATCTGGAGCAAAGAAAACTGAAGAAAATCAAAGACACAAGGAAACAGTTAGTCTAAAGGACTAATGGACCATAAGAACATTAACCTCTACGACTCTGAGACCAGAACTAGATGGTGCCTGGCTACCAGTACCAACCCCTTGGAAAAGGATCAAAATTGGAGATCCTAGATAGAGTGGCAGAAAAAACATGAAACAAAACATAAAAAAGACTAGTTTTACTGGTCTGATAAAGAGTGGGGAAATCCCCAAGACTTTGGGCCCCAAGATACCCTTCAGTCCTGGAACTGAACTCACTCCTGTGGCTTAACTCTCAGCCAAGCAATACACAGCCCTAGGAGCTGAACAACTACACTAGGAAGATGTACTTCTTAGAACAATCAACCATGGAAGACCAGACAGACAGAAATTGCACAGGGAGAAAGGTGGGAAGGCAGGAACACACAGGCAAGAAAGATACAGGGAAAGGGTGACCATAGGAAGGAAAGGGGAATACTGTGGGGAATATAATCAGTGTCAAAAAACAAAATGTGTATGAACTGTTGAATGTAAAATGAATCTGCTTTGTAAAATTTCACCCAAATCATATTAAAAAGTTAAAAAAGAAAACTGAAGGAAACAGCCTAACAAGAACAACAAAGGGTTCATTCCATGTCTTATACAAACTCACAAATTGGTAAGGAAAGCACCATAAATAGAAAAATAGACCTAGTATGTGAACACAGTTCATAGATGAATGGTTTTTTTTAAATGTGAAACTTGTGAGACATCAAGTTATAAAAACATTTTACTGCTGACTGTCAGCGATTAGATATTAAGCTCTTTGTCTTCAAACCTGGACAGCAGATGCACAACATGGTTTACTGACTGTACCCATTGTCCTTCCTTGTCCTAAATTCATCAGTGAACAGACCATCAAATAAATGGACTGCAGAAAGATTGATATAGGGGTGGCTGTAACTACCTACTACAGGCTTGCAACAGCACACTGTGCACATCTCCTCCTAACTCCACATACAGTGACCTTATACTGGCAGCTTGAAATCATTGTTGGTGGAAATACTTATACCATGGAAATTGGCAAATGTCACACATCGGCGCTTCTTTTGTTCTGGAGAGTTGGTTGTTAAACACCGCTTGCAGTGTAGTAAATTACCTGATATAGCCACTGGTGTTTCAAACCCAGCGGGATGCACATGGTACACAGGTATCAGCCCAGCTTACAGACTGAGATAGACTAGGAAGAAGGAAGAGGCCATCCAATTCTCAAAGAATTGGCCAGGGAAAACCTTATGAATAGCAAAGAAACAATGTTTGATACATTATCACGCAACTTTATGAATAGTCCAGTTAGGTTAGAAGGCACTCAAAATAGGACTGGGAAAGAGCTGCAACATCTGAGTAAACCCAGCCTTACTCATATGGATAATGTTAAGCTTTCAAGACCTCCATTTGCTGATGTGGCACCACTCAAACTGAAGAGAAACAGCTGCAGACATCCATTAGTCATTGGAACATGGAATGTACAAAGTATGAATCTAGGAAAATTAGAAGTTGTCAAAAATGAAATGGAACACATAAAGATTGATATCCTTGGCATTAGTGGGCTGAAATGGACTGGTTTTGGCCATTTTGAATCAGACAACCATGTGATCTACTATGCCAGGAATGACAGTTTGAAGAGGAATGGCGTGGCATTCATCATCACAAAGGATGTTTCAAGATCTGTCCTGAAGTACAATGCTGTCAGAGATAGGATAATATCCATATGCCT